CAGGGCGAGATTTCTCCAGTCCCGCTCATCAAGGATATGGCAGGCGAATTGCCGGGTAGCCAATGTCTTCAGACGACCATACCAAGGAGATCGGACCCGCTTTACCGTTACGCCCAAGGATCTCTATGGCCACGTGGTCAATGTATAGGGGAGGGTCTGTCCCCGGAGGGGGATGCTGTCAGGGCCCGGGCAGCTCTCTTCTGGCCAGCCGCCTGTGCATCCTTTTCTGCCTTTACCGCGCGCGCGCGCACACACACCCGTTTTCTGGGCTTGATCTCCCCTCCCCCAGCCTGCTGTTTAGTTCAGGTGGAATTTAGCTAACTTGAGCTTTGTAGGCGTTCATATAACTGCACTCTTCTCCTGGCAAATGAAGCTCCTGATCGCAGCAACAGACAGACCCCACTGCTTGAAAGGGTGAAATGGTTGCGCAACAGGTCACCCCCTCCATTCCCAGGTTGAAAGTCTAGTGAAGGGTGGTGCCCGCTGCACAAGTAATTGACGCAGTCAGGTCATTTCTGAGGTCATGTGCCAAAGGTGAAAGCTGGACCACAGGGTGGGCATGTTCCCCTCAGCAAAAATCAAGTAACTGAAGTGGTTTTCTTAAACACAATAAAGTGGGTAGAAGTGCTTTCATCTAAAGACAAAGATTATGCAAATATATGCATAGATACTCATATAGATCCATATATGAAGGGTATTTTAACTGGAAAAAACATGGCACTTGTGCACAACTGAACAAAACTACAAAACCACAAATAATGCACAGCTCTGGGTTTCTCCCATAGAAACCTCTAGTTAGATGTGGAAAGTTGCTTCTTAGTGACTGCCTGGGTCAGCTTTCGCTGAGCTAAAAGGACATTCCCCTTGCAATTCCCTTTTATACTTTCAGGATGTACTTGGTGAGATTAAACATAGGTTAATTGAACAGGTTATTGGCCAAACTTAGATCTGACTTGGGGGGGTCAGTTTTTTATTTCATGATGTTATTTAACTTTGACCCTTTGAGAGGAATTTATTGTCTGCACCCATCTGGATTGTGAAATCATGGGCGTGAGCCATCCTTGGCAGAGGGTTTTCTTTGAGGGACCAGGAGGGCCAAGAAAAGGCCTGGCCTGGAAGATAGCGTGTGAAGACCCAGTTCTGTACCATCCCAGAGCAGCCAGTGGGGTGAATGAACCACTTCACCCACTGGGCCTCCCGTCCATGGATGGAAGAAGCTATAGTCGAGACTGTTCACATTCATGAATAATAGATTTCAAAAAGGGGAACAATTTAAGCTGTAACTAGAAGGAAAAGGTAACTGTCAGAATGGACTCTCTTGGCTTGCTGGTGGAGGGAAAGAGGAAATTTGGAGCCTTGGCAGGTTTTTCTACTAGCCAGGTCAGGGGATATTTAAAGGTAGCAGCAATAACCAGAGTACCTTATAAACTGAAAATGGGAATTGCTATAAACTATTTACTAAAAACATTACCTTAAAAGGGGTAAGGACATTTTCTGCTTTTTCTCCTTCTCCTGTAGCTTTAGGCAAGAAGGAGAGATGCCAGGAAAAGAGGCAGGAGTCAGGAAGGGCTGGCTGCGCTGGAGCCTCCCTGTTGTTCCACCACCGTGTGAGTGGGGTTCCTGGAGCGAGCAAACCTCCCTGATGAGTCAGAGAGGCCAGGAGTGTGGATGTGGCTCTCCACACATAGCATGACTAAGCTGAGAAAGAAGAGCCCGCTGGGAAAAGAGACTTCAATGCAGATGGAAAAAGGGCATAACAGGCCTAGAGGAAATAGCAGTTTACAAAGTAGCATTTCAGAGAGCAAGTGTGGGGATCCTCATATTAGAGAAATTAAAAGGGAGGGTTAGGGCAAGCTCCTGCTGGCTTCGAGAAAGCAAACCCCACCCCCTTGCTCATAGAACTGTGAGCAAAGCAAGACAGACAGAAAAAATCTGCCTTGAGAAGAATTGGGGAGGCCCACTTACTCAGATGCCCCACTTAGAGAGGACTTCAGGATGCCCTGCAGAGAGGGAGGGAGACCAAAAAGTCCCCTGTACCAGAAGGCGGAGGAAGGGGGCTTTCGCCTTACAGAGACTCCTAGTCCTTTTCTTTGAGTACAAGCATAAACACAACGACAGAATCAGGGGTGATCCTCCTTATGTTACCATGACAATAAATAATGAATTTCCCTAAATTTTATTTTGATGGCACAGATTTCTTAAAATAATAAAGACATCCAAAACTTCACTGTTAATGCATGGTAGCTTAAAACTTTACATGATAATAGACAGCAATCAATTGAATCTATGATTAAAGGTACCAAATCAGGTAAGGAACATTCTGCTCTAAAGGCAGGCAGCTCTGTAAAAGCAGCTCTGTCCAATTCTGTAGCCTCTTAGCCACTTGAAATTTAAGCATAAGTAATTTACATAAAATAAAATGTAAAACTCAGTTCCTCAGTCACTCCAGCCACAAAGAGTCCCCAGCACATGAGACTAGGGGCTACCGTAGGGGACAGCATAGTAGATGTAGAGCATTTGGACAGCACCAGACTAGAGTGTTCCCTGCATTTTACAAAAGGTTCCTATGCCAAGTTTAGAATAATAACTCTGGATGTAGAAGAAATTAAACCCTGATGTACAGTGAGAAGAACAGCATAGTATTATCTACAGCAAGCATGTCAAACTCACGGCCAACTCACGGCCACCGGCCCACAAGGGATATTTTTGTGGCCCGGCCAATATAACGGTATGTAAGAAATATTTTAATAAAAATTTAATAATTTAATTTTTACAATAGCCTTTTATACGATATTGTACACGTTCACTAATGACTGATTACTATAATCGAGTTGCATTCATTTCCCTTACCCACCTTACACACAGGCGCACCATTTTAGCAGCCGATTGCCACGTCATTAGTCTTGTACTGACGTGTTTGGTGTGCGCAATAGGAAATATTTCACTTTCGGAGAATAAGGAAAATAGGTTTATTTGCATCACGCTTATTAATCTGTGCAGTTATTCAGTGTCTGGTAAGTTAATGTTCAAGAAAAATATTAATTTTTATTAAAATGTTCTATTATGTTATGTTAATGATTACTCATTCATTTCAGCCCTTTGTATTCAGCATGTCTCCATAGAAATAAACCTACGTTTCTATGAAAATTGAAGCTTTTGGTTTTTTTGCCGCCCACATAAACTTAAACCTTGTTTATTTGGCCTGTGTTGGCCTTTGAGTTTGACATGCTTGCTCTATAGTATCCTCTCCATCCCACAGAACAGCTATGTAGGGAGGGGAAGAAAACTCAGAACTGGCTGTGTCATGAATTTATATTTCAAGAAGGTGTTTTACCACCTATTCCACTGGCTTTAATGGCATAAATTAGTCTATACCATTTAGTTCCACTGAATTTGTTTCTTATATTCCTAAAGGTCTGCTGCTCTATATTATGAGATATCTGTATTGATAGTTATCTAAAAAGAGTGGGCTATGAATGCTTCTTAAAATTTCCTCTAATTAAAGTGATCACAACTTCAGACCCTTCTCCCTCCAAGATTTCTATGTCTTCTTCTTATGTTCCCATTTCCATCCATATGTCTATTATTATGTACATATTTGGAATTTCTAGATAAATAAAATGGCTTCAAATTTATAATTCTGATATCACATTAGCCATCAATTAATTCACTTATTCAAGTCCTCTATGCTGAACTAAACACATACTACAAAGGGTAATCCCTAAAACAATTTCTAGAAATCGCAAAGATTAGAATTATGCGACAAGATACATTCAGATGAAAAGTTTAAAAAAATACATACGTACAATATCACAACAGTAAATCACTGCCACATGGTAACTAAGGGGTTCTTTTTTGGTTGGACTGCCAGGAAACATATAACTACATTTTAAGTTTTACTGACCCATGTTATTTATTCTCTCTCACATAAGGATTTTAATTTTCACTTTCATTTCCAACAGGCATGCTGTTTTATGCAGTTGCTATAGTAAGTTCTCTCATCATCATTTTGGAAATAGACCAAATATATATTACAATAAATCAAAAGTAAATGATAGTGACTATTGCATAGTAAGGTTTTTAAAAAGTGCATGGTATGAATTATCTTGATTTTGGTAATCATCCTACAATGTAGATGTATATCAAATGATCATATTGTATACTTTAAATATATACAATTATATTTGTTCATCATTCCTCAATAAAGTTTAAGTGAATGGTATTAAGTGTTAGGGAGGCCCTACTTAGGGAGAGAGAAGAGGGAGGCTCTAGAGAAAGGTTAATGGAGAAGAGTATGAAGGAGATGCAGTCTGAGTTGGGTCACACAGGACAGATGGAATGCAAATATCTGAGAGAAGAACAGGGGGGCATTCTAAATGAGCAAAGCATGGGAGTAAGGTTGTCTCTTCGAGGTCATGAGCCTGCAATGCCTCCTAGCCCATTTTTTATTGGAAGAGACTTTAGTGACAGAGTGGCTGGTCATAAGATGAAAAGACTCATCATGGCCAGGTGGCGGAGTCCTTAACCCAGTACACATGATAAGTGTCGACTCTATCAGGTCAGCAGTGCGGTCAGGAGCACTTCAAGCATAAGGATGGCATGCTGAAGGTAGGCATTTTGGAAGATGACTGGTTAGGGCACCGGATGTAATAAAACATAGCTAGTCTGGATGAGCAGAGAACAGTTACACTATAATTGCAAGAAATGGGGAGGGCAGTATGTAATAGCATTGGGAATAAAATCATATAAGCACAAAATGACAAAATTTTAGAATTAGAAAGGAACGGAATGGTTATACGAGACTAACTTCCACTTCCTCTTTTTTAACATTAGCAGGAATTTAGGGCTTAAAATGTTATCCATGTTTTCACATGGTTACTGTCTAAAAAGATATTTTGAAGTGTATCACAAGGGAAGGAAAGACAAGATTATGTGATTCTCCTGGACTATTGTCATGAGGAGAGAAATTAGTTGAGATAATTCTGATGTTAGTTCTGAGACAAATCAAGACATCTGAGAGGAGATCTTTGCTGGGAAATACAAATATGCATTTGTAATTTTCTTTTCCAAAGCTTGAATGTAATGATTCTCAAATAGACATGAAATTTTTTTAGTAGTCAGCAAAAGGCACACACATGGTAATCCCTGTGTTGGTTTCAAAATAACAGCCTCTGTGATCCCTTTCAACTTGAACTCATTCTAGGGTGATTGATGATTAATATCAGTATAATAGTAATTTTTAAGTCTATTCTATATAGCTATAATCAAAGCATAAGGTTTAAAACAGTGGTTCTCAACCTGTGGGTCGCGACCCCTTTGGGGGTCGAACGACCCTTTCACAGGGGTCGCCTAAGACCATCGGAAAACACATATAATATATAATTACATATTGTTTTTGTGATTAATCACTATGCTTTAATTATGTTCAATTTGTAACAATGAAAATACATCCTGCATATCAGATATTTACATTACGATTCATAACAGTAGCAAAATTACAGTTATGAAGTAGCAACGAAAATAATTTTATGGTTGGAGGTCACCACAACATGAGGAACTGTATTAAAGGGTCACGGCATTAGGAAGGTTGAGAACCACTGGTTTAAAAGATCAGATTATCTCAAAGAACTCAGCACATTGGTAATATTATCTTCTGTTGGGACTGTTGTTTGTGTGTTTGTTTGGGAGATAGTGATTAATATTTTGTCACACATGAGATTTTGCATGGAATTCAGAGTCCCCGGCTTATAATAGAGCATTATAATCATCTTATGTGGGAAATTATCCTCACATCACTGAGCAAAGAACTATACTAAAATGGGGGATATTATTCATTCATAAGAATCTGAAACACTTTTAAGTTCAGCCAACAGTGATATACATTTTAAATGCTTATGGAAAGTCTTTTTTATGTTTGTTCTCTACCTCCTAGTTGTGGTAAAAAAAAAATTGAAGAATTAGCTCCACTTTGGTTCTAACTGAATAGAATGTCATATTATTTAAGACAAGATACACCAAATACCCTTGAACTGTAAAAAAGTTCGTGATGTGGGTAATTCTCCCAATTAATAACAGTGTTGGCCACATTTTAAAGGGGCTTAGCCCTGGCCAGTGTTGCTTAGTGATTAGAACTTGGGCCCTGAGTTGGATTCATAGTCAAGGACGTGTACTTGGGTTGCAGGTTCCATCCCCGATCCCAGTAAGGGCGGGAGTAGGAGGCAACCAATCAATGTGTCTCTCTCACTCTCCCTCCCTCCCTTCCACTCTCTCTCTAAAAATCAATGGGAAAAATATCCTCAGGTGAGGATTAACATAAATAAGTAAATGCATACATACATACATACATACATACATATATGCATAAATGGGCTTAAAGTAAGAACAGCTGCAATAGTAAGCAGCATCTGGGAAGTCCAGTATGCAGCCCGCCCACTCAAGTCCATAGAAACAACAGACACTTGCATATTTCAAGCGAAACTGCTTTTGAGTTTGCCCTAGTTTCAACATAAGTTCTCTGTGATGAAATGGTCAGAGAACTGGTCCCCAGGAGACCTGGGCTGTGTGCACCTGGGGAGTTCTGGGCCTTTTCATGACTCAGCTGGCTGGA